TTTTTTCTCTCCAGACCCAGACTTGACCTTGTGCTACCTCGTGTAGCTCTATGTACGTCTAAAAAGCATAAAGTAATGCTAATCCCCTTTCAAAATGTTGTCATTTTAAATACAAATTCCTAGGATAAACACAGAAAGAAACATTGAAAGAAATGTCTAATGATGAGATACAATTTTGATAAAAATGTGCCAAATACAATGTTTAATTAAACCAAGATATAAGACATACATGTAAAGTATTCTACATCATATAATAATAAAATATTTCATATAATTCATAAATAAAATGTTTTATCTCTTAGCACCTAAATGTACATGCAACTATAAGGTTAGCTGTACTTATAAATGAGTCTATATAAAATCGACTAAGAACATCCACTAAGGTAAAATATAACCTACTGTAAACCAATTTCTGACGTTAAGGTATCCTAATTTCTATACCGCCTAATAAAGCTATACATAAATACTGGCACCTGAGTGAAAATAAAGCACATGATAAGTTCTGGCCTTGACAGATGAAAGTAAATTTTGATTTGCTGCAACAACTATGTCATTTAATAATCCTATCTTTTTTATTACAAAGAGGGACAGATTCATGGATAATGCAATTGCTTATGAAATAAAAGCCTCTCTCCACTCGGGGACCGGAGATTTAGAACCGGAGCATGATAGCTTGACTTCTCTAACCTTGATGTTGGATGCACTAATCACGTACGACAAACTTTCCTCATATGTAATGGCTTGCAGAGAATTATAGGTCAATTTAGGCTCGGTCAGTGAGACGACCCTCATCAATAACCTCTGTTCCATCTTTCCTGCTTTAGAAGTTGACCTTTGCGATTTTTCTTGCAAGGAGAGCAGACTCTATATTGCAATGATGTGTGCTCGTAGTGTGGTCAGTCCTCATGTTGTGCTGGTTGGCCACTCATGTGTAGTGATGCTTGCAGGGCCCATCCTGTGACTCCGGGGCATATGGACTCTACTGCCCATTTCCCTGGGGCATTATTGCCATGCTGATTTACTACCAGTGAAGGACAATCATCAGAGACCAAATTATACCCCAATCACAGTGTGTGAGAGTTTGTTCATGGTCTTTAGGTTAAAGCAATGAAGGGTGAAAACCTCTATAGACAATCAATTATGTTACAGTTAGTATGGTTTTAGCTACCATTCCTTATTTTAGAAGGTTGCTTTAAAATATATGAATCCAAACACAAATAAATTGGGAAATGAGTCCAAGCGTGGTTATATTTGCCCATGTTGCACTGACAGCTTTTGACATATTGCACCATATTTAAGAAATGGGATTCTCGTTGTCTGGAAGTGAGAATCACTTATCTTTAACATTAAAGGTAATAGATCTTCAGGGTGAGATTTTTATCGACATTTCTCATTACCAACCTATTGGTGTTTATAGCGACGGTCATAAATGGCTCCCTGTGGTGCTGTGTTTTATGAAGAGATCAGCTGTCAGGGCATATGCGTTTGAATCTCTGCTGGATGCAATGACACCGGTCAAGTTTAAAGACCTGAGACAGGAAAAGAGAGAGAGAGAGTTCTTCACTATAAGGGAAACTGGGATAGACTAATGCTGCGTTCAAGTCCTCCTGGGACGTTTGTACTTACGAGTTGACAAGTTGTAATTACGACGTCAGGTGCGTTCAAGTCAGTTTAGTCGGCACAAGATGGCGGTGTACCTTCTTTTAACAAATTACAAGAAAATACAACAGGGTCTGCATTTTTTTACTTGGATTTCATTAACTAGCTGCGTAACAAGAACATGACCAATTTAAGTTTATAGGACAACTAAACTATCAATTTAAACAAAAACTACAGACGTTGCATCCATCGATTCCGCCATGTTTCTCATTGACACGCCCCCAACTCGGAAACTCGGGGCTTAAAGAAAATTTCGAGTTTCCCACTCGTAATAACGACTTTGTGGTTGCGTTCATGTGCGCTCAACTCATAAATACAATCTATCCGACATGGCTTGAACACACCATTTCTGTATGAAGTCAAAATAAAGTGAAGACACACCTACGTCACTATGTGGGAAGATTTGCATAACGCCGCCCAAATGTTCACGCAAAGAAAGAAGGCGTAACTTTTATTCTCGCTTTAGTATTGTTGCTGCCGCAATGTCGTGAAGGCGCTGTGTGTTTCATTGTGAAAGCGAAACTACTTTGTTTGGTCTTCCAAAAGAGGACGATATTTGCTTCGTCATGCCTAGAGCTGATCCGTGCTGGTCGCTGAGGAAATACATCAACTTCGCTCTGTAGATCTCCGGATCGGCTTTCACCGTGGACGAAGCGGAGTCCAGCCCGGGGTCGTCACATGTGGTTGCCGCAAGCCCGCCCGCCGCCGCTCACTCAAGCCGGCCTCCGCTCACTCAAGGCCGCCGTGTGTGACGCTGTTTCGATGTGTCCAGAGCATTTTATGGAGGACTGTTTCCTGATCCTGGTAGAGTAGACTACAATGCCGGCTGTTCTGACTCACGGACTGTAAGTACGTTTTTTATATTTAAAGAATTTGCCACTGACGATTCAAATGCGAGTTTTGAGCAGTGTAGAGTAGCGTTTGTAGTTTGTAATTTCTCCGATCACAAATGAAGACATGGTTTTATGTTTACGCGGCGCGATGCAATGCAACGCGTAAAAATCAAGCGTAGCGTTAGTTCTGGCAGGTCACGTTAGTCAAGCTGACTCTCAGTTGATCCTCATCAACCTATGGGAATACGACACCTATCTAAGTATTCATATATAAGGTCCCGCAGTAGTATCAGCAGTTTTCGCATTGCTCAATAGCTAATTACCCTCCTCCATCCCCAGCTCCTCCTCTGTCAGTCAGGATTCAGCCTTCTGATTCTCCTTTGAATCAGACTAATTCTAAAATGTGTACATAACATTATTGAACTTTAACTATATCTGCAATTCATTTATGTTGGTTCTGTTCTGTTTACCCTGGGGGGGTTATCGCTGCTCTCCCTGCTCTCATCCATGCTAGGCTGCATGGATGCGCAGGGAGTTCTTGCCCAGAACGGAACCATACCGCCAATCCAAACTGTATGCTAATTGTCAATCATGTTTGACGATAGTGGTCCTGACAGAAAGACAGTATAAGTCATTATAATCCGTAATTATGTCCCCACTGGATGCAACAAATGCCTAGTTTATAATGGGTTTTTTAATGTTTTTGTCTCGTAGCTTCGACGGGACACGCCATCACAATATGGTAAGGGGCGTAACATTTCCGTCACACGCTTGAGGTATTCGGCCAATCACAACGCACTGGATAGCTGGCCAATCACAGCACACCTCGCTTTTCAGACCGATGAGCTTTGTAAAAATCGACGCGTTTCAGAAAGGCGAGGCATAGAGGAGAAACAATGATGTACAGTATGTGGAAAATAATGTTTTTTTAACCTTAAACCGCATAAACACATTTCATTACACCAAATAATGTTCTTTTTAGCAACATCATATGACCCTTTAAAGTTTATTTATCAAATATATTCTCAAAAATATTTTTATTTTGTACTGTTAGCAGTACATTCGCATAAAATATTGCTACTTATATCAAAATATAAACAACATTTTAACAATGACTGTCAGCGTCTTGGCTTTGTGGGTGCGCTAGACACGCTGTTGCTAAGCGGTTGCTAGGGTGCTCTGGGTGGTTATTTACTGCCTCGAGTCAAAAAAGAGGTTTCTTCAAGTGCTCGAGTATGAGCCAAAGCTAAAGAGTGAGCAGCAGTAATGGAGATACTTCATACCCAGCAAGCAATAGCCGTCATTACAACGTCTCGTTTAAGTATAGACCCGATATAGTCCGGCTACGTGTAATCCACATCTAGCCCAAATAACCTTGAATTTGGTTTCATGTCGTTGTTTGGCAAAATAACTTGTGAGATGTATGATATTCCATCATGTAAGCAAAGTAACAGCGTTTACAAGGTGTTTGGTTTCATTTCTTTGACATGTTCAATACGTAGCCTGCGCACGTGCCTTAGTTTTTTATTGCAAGTATAAACACTTCAACAATTAATGTAACATTGGATGACATTATGAATACAGAAAGTATACAGGAAGACAAAGAAGAAAAAATAAATAAATAAGAATACATAGATAAAACAAAAAATACAGAGGTAGTCAATCAAAATGATGTACCATTCAGCAGATGTCTTGGCTTTGTGGGTGCGCTAGACACGCTGTTGCTAAGCGGTTGCTAGGGTGCTCTGGGTGGTTATTTACTGCCTCGAGTCAAAAAAGAGGTTTCTTCAAGTGCTCGAGTATGAGCCAAAGCTAAAGAGTGAGCAGCAGTAATGGAGATACTTCATACCCAGCAAGCAATAGCCGTCATTACAACGTCTCGTTTAAGTATAGACCCGATATAGTCCGGCTACGTGTAATCCACATCTAGCCCAAATAACCTTGAATTTGGTTTCATGTCGTTGTTTGGCAAAATAACTTGTGAGATGTATGATATTCCATCATGTAAGCAAAGTAACAGCGTTTACAAGGTGTTTGGTTTCATTTCTTTGACATGTTCAATACGTAGCCTGCGCACGTGCCTTAGTTTTTTATTGCAAGTATAAACACTTCAACAATTAATGTAACATTGGATGACATTATGAATACAGAAAGTATACAGGAAGACAAAGAAGAAAAAATAAATAAATAAGAATACATAGATAAAACAAAAAATACAGAGGTAGTCAATCAAAATGATGTACCATTCAGCAGATCATTATACAGTTTCACAAATTTGACACTTTTTTTGGTATTAATATCTTTTAGTGTTATAATTAAGTAGTCGCAAAGAAAATTATGTAATTTTGGAGATGTTGAAGAAAATGTACATTTATGAATATAAGATTTTCCCAATAACATAAATATGCGCACGTGCCTTAGTAAAACAGCACTAAACGAGACGAGTCCGTATGACATTTCCTAGAGTAGACCGACCATTGATCAGCCAATCAGCGCTCAGTACACATCCACAGCTGAGAGAAGCACGCAGCAAAACAACGCGAGATCTTCAAAGGGGAGAGATTCAGCGAGAGGAACCGTAACACCGGCGAGCCAGAACCCGATTCTCCCTCTGCGGATACGCTGGACAAAGCGAAGGGTTTTCATGCTCTCGAGACTGCACAGAAACATTACAGGTAAATGAAATCTTCACCTGCTGCCGTTAAATAGCGTCCAAACGGCTTTACACGCGCTGTGAATAAGAGGCGGGATGACGTCACCGCTGCTTTCTTTCAGTCGTAAATGTTTGAACGTGTTCAGTGTAAACGACCCGTTACAACGTTACAGTGTTGGGTGCAAGTCAGCTACACTGGGTCCCACTTTATTAGACTGAGCACTGATACGTGTGTGTGAGCACTGGTATGTCCTATTCAGTATTTTACTGTGCATAAATATATGAAATAATTGATTCGGTCTCCTTCCGTTTATAGTCATTTGATTCTTTTATGTTAATTCTGACACCTTAATATTCATTTGTTTTGTCTAGTTTGGTGGAGGTATGACATTAACCAGGGGCTCCTTCACTTATTCCAGCGGAGAAGAATATACCGGAGAATGGAAGGAAGGCAAGACATTTCATACACGCTTTGCATTAATTTGAATGCTCAGGACAGTTTTCATAAATGGGCCAGGTTGTCACATGTGTTTTAAATGCTGTACTTTTATTCGTTATTTAAGTTTCTATTTGCCAAAACAATTACATTTTTGAATGCCATAGTATCCATGTATCCTGGAATTATTTTAGATTAATCAACACTGTAAGATACAAAAAACGACTGTATATCTATATATTCTAAACAATATTGTCAACTCTTGCATTGCTAACAACCAATAGGACTGGCTTAAATATATGGAAATGATCTTTTTTATAATTTGGGTAATGGATTTGAAATATGATTGCTACAGAAAATGTTTAGCACAATTGTTTTCAGTTGTACTGTACAGTATATCGGAGAATGTTGACAAGGGACACAGATGTGCAACCTTGTAAAAGAGCTTTATATCTGTCAGAACATGTAAATTTTTTTTCTTGTATATTAATTTATAATTTATTTATGATCTGAGGACCGGTGGTTGTAGGGGTAGTAAGTGATGTGATTCATATTTTATTATTTAAATGTTAAATGAAAATCTTATAATAGGCTGTTTAATGGCAGGTTCAAATTGTGACAACTTACCCTCCTATTGTGTGACATCGGTTTCTGCTATTATAAGTTTTTAGCCAAAACTTTATGGTATGTCAATACATACTTCTAAAAATTACTCTAGTAAAAGTGTGACACCTAGCCAGAGTCCCACTACATATATTAACATGCTTAAGCATGTTCATAAGACTTGTGTTTTTCTGATTGCTGTGGGAATTGTAGCGCACTGCTTAATGATCCAAACGGCTTATGTAATCGATGCAGGTGTGATCTTAAGTAGGAATGACATTCTAATCATAGTACTAATTATCAAAGCCAGCCATTAATACAAAAGAGCACAGCCTATAGAATTAGCATACTGGATAAAAACTCCGTGTTCATATAAGAAGCAGTGTGTTTTGCTGTGCAGGTCGGAGGCACGGTAAAGGTGAGCTGAAGTTTGCTGATGGCACCTGTTATAAAGGTCACTTTGAGAATGGCCTGTTCCACGGATCAGGGGTGTTAGTCTTTCCCGATGGATCCAGGTGAGTGAACATGTGATCAGATTCAAAATACTTACCTACTTAAACTGAGATGAACATGTTGGCAGTGACACTGTGAGACTAGTCATGTGGAAAACAGCACCATTTCTGGTCAACAGGTACGAGGGTGAATTTGCCCAAGGAAAATTCCAAGGGGTTGGAATCTTCAGCAGATTTGACGGGATGAAATTTGAAGGGGAATTCAAAAGTGGCCATGTGGAAGGATATGGTAAATATTACACCATAAATTGACAATAGCTACGTTTGCATGCTCCCAAATGATCTGGGTATAATAGGAATAATGGCTCAATCGGACTGAAAAGCCTTAATGTAAACACCTCAGTCGATCTGGGGTGCGTTTCCCATACAACAACCTCAATTGTCCGTTCAGTCATACTAACAAGAAACTACGCTTTTAACCACAGGTCGAAAGCTGTAGTTCCAACCACGTACGTTTGCGATGCTGTTTGCGAATGTTCGTTTGAATTATGGTTTTGGGAAACACTGAATCATTTAACTATATAGGCAACAACGAAATGTACGACCATAATTACAATTTACATTGCTTTTGGAAACGCACACCTGAGCGAGCCCTATCCGAATAAAATTTCGATCGGATTGAAAAGTGGTGTAGACCTGAAAAAAAAATTCGATCAACAGGGGGGGGGAAAAAGCATGTAAATGCTTGAATCTGACTATTTTCTAAACCATATTACATATAGGCGCAGTGCCATGAATTGCACGTTTACATACATTTTACCTCTTACAAATTTGCATATATTTATTTATGTCTCGCATCTTAATGCCGGGTTCAGACTACACGATATTTTTGTCGGTCACGATAGTCACTGTGTCAGATTACACGATTTTGACTCCTAAAATCTTGTCGTGGACAAGAAACATGTCAGACTACACGTTGCTTCCCGACTATTCATTGCGTGCCGTCTTTAACGACACGCATGGTGTCATCGAGAAGGCGGAACTAGCGACTGACTTCCGAAAACAAGTGTAAACATTGCTGAAGCACTTCCGCTATAGTTCGCCAGCATTTTTCTTTCTTTGTTCTGTCGTGGTAGTCCCTCGATGACACCTCATACAGGCAGGAGTACTGTGTCCACAGCTCCACGAACCTTTCCTCCATCTCATAATTCCACCTAGCAGCACCATCATCTCTCTTTCGTTTTGCCATGTTTGAAACCCGTGTATGAAAGAGCGTCTGTGCTGCTATTGGTCAACATCACCAATGTGACAGAACTCGTCGTGGATGACGGGGAAAAAAAATTAAACATGCTAGTCTTTTTGTCATGATGTTGAGAAACATTGCAGACACGTAATCAGTTGTCGTCCACTATGACACACTTCACGTGCTGAAACGATGGAATCTTGCGTCCCGACGCTCATTGTCGTTTACGAATCCCCACGACACTCTACGTCAAGCAAATCGTGGCAAAATCTGGCTAAAATCGTGTAGTCTGAACCAGGCATAAGAACTTGTCGGTGGCTAAATATTTACTAAAAAAGCTTTTCTGACATATGTCAGCTTTCTTTTTAGATATATAGCAAGGCAGAACGACAGTTCTTATTCATTAAAAGTCAATATTGCTGGATTAAAATCGTGTTACCGATATACAACAGTGGTGAGGGAATGTTTTCAGCAAGCTGTCTTAATTTTTTTTTTATTTGTTCATTTCATTCATTTAAAATGAGTACATATGATTTACTAACACATTATAGGATATTGTAACATTCTTTTTAGTTGTATTGTTCTTGTGCATTACAGAAAACTATTTGAAATTATTTAAAAAGTATTGGGTTGTTAGGCAGATATACGTTCACTTCAGATGTTTAATGACTGATTTTAGTGAGTCTGTGATTGTATCACTTACGTTTGACTGTATCGTTGCTATTTTAACTGTTTGTTTGTTACAAACCAACATTTTCTTTATTGCACATTTGCCTTAGTTCTTGCATTAAAAGTCAATATTGCTGGATTAAAATCGTGTTACCGATATACAACAGTGGTGAGGGAATGTTTTCAGCAAGCTGTCTTAATTTTTTTTTTATTTGTTCATTTCATTCATTTAAAATGAGTACATATGATTTACTAACACATTATAGGATATTGTAACATTCTTTTTAGTTGTATTGTTCTTGTACATTACAGAAAACTATTTGAAATTATTTAAAAAGTATTGGGTTGTTAGGCAGATATACGTTCACTTCAGATGTTTAATGACTGATTTTAGTGTTTGCTTTATTTTCTAAACAGACTGCTAATTCACTGTTCCCATCATCCACAGTGTCAGACAGAAGCCTTACTCACTATCATCTAAAATATACTGACACCAAAAAGCATTTTGCACTATTTATTTGAGCAGAGAATCAAAAGACTGACATGAAAAATAAAGTGAAAAAAAAATCAGAAAACACCCCCTGATCCAAATTTGGTGCATAATTTTTTAGTCACGCTTATTCTGTTGTGATATTTTTCTTAATAAGGTTTAAATATACAAACACACAATTATTTATAGAGACATATACTACAGTTCAAAAGTTGGGTTGGTAATAGTTTTAATGTTTTTGAAAAGAGACCCTCATGCTCACCAAGGCTGCATTTATCTGATCAAAAATACAGTAAAAACTGAAATATTGTGAAATATTATTACAATTGAAATTTTTTGTTTTCTATTTTAATATATTTAAAAATGTAATTTATTCCTCTGATGATAAAGCTGGATTTTCAGCAGCCATTACAGCAGTCTTCGGTGTCACATGACCCTTCAGAAATCATTCTAATATGCTGATTTGGTGCTTAAAAAACATTTCTTATCATGAAGGTTGAGAACAGTTGTGCTGCTTAATATTTTTGTGGAAATAGTGCTACTTTTTGTCAGTTATTTGAAATAATATTTTTTTTGTGACATAAGTAACATTAAAATCTCACTGACCCCAGATATTTATCCCAATTAATCCCTTAATACAGAAGCATTTATATTTGAACATACGTAGCATGTTATTTCTCTCTCAAGAATCAGTTAACAGAATATTAACAGGGCACAGAGCACTTATCCAGTGCTCCAACCGCTAAATGAAACCACAGTGTGTGTGACTAAAAGCTTTCTAATCATAGAACAACTGAGCGCGTTAAACAAGTGATTCATAGGCACACTGTGATGTTTCTATCAGCAAGATTGCCAGTGACACACAGGAAAACCCATCATGACACCAGGCCAAGAAGATCAATTTGGGAACTGGATAAACCAGGCCATGGATTACATCTCTAATACAGCAGCAAAACACACTACAAAGGGAAGAGCTGGACTGTTGATTCATAAACAACCATATATTGGGGCAAATGTTTGCTTTCAGGCTGCCAGATTGTCATTATATAATAAGCACAGATGACGTATGTCTCACACGTGGGCATATCAGTTTTCTCCACCTAAAGCCTTGTCATCTGATGCATCAGGAAACTATGCACAGCAATGAGCCTGCACTGGCACAGTAAACCATTGACAAAACTATAGCATTTTAAATATGTTTCAAATGAAAGATGTGTTATGCAGAAAATGAATAAAGAGAATTAAATATTGTGCATGCATTTCTCGTTTTAGAAAGACAAAGCTAGCAAACTACTAGTCAAAATGCGAAGTCCATGTAAATAATCTCTTAGTGCCAACCATGTTGACATTAAACTTTTATAATATAATGCATTAACCATTTATTAGCCACGCTATCTTGTTACAGGTTCACCTGGGTAATGCATAAATATAATAAGAAACATTAAGATATTATAAATGAGTATTACAAAACATTAAAATGATCACTCAATTTTGATCTGCTCAAATTTCAAATTTAAATATTCATAATACTGTATATAATTTTTTTTAAATATATAAAGTCAAAAGTCAGAATTATTACGTTTTTTTCATGTCATTAAAAAAAGTATTTTATCCTCACCAAGGCCACATTTATAATACAAAATATAGTAAAAAAATTTGACATATTATTACAATTGAAAGTAACTGTTTTCTATATGAATATATTTTAAATTGTAATTTATTCCTGTGATGGCAAAGCTGAATTTTCAGCAGCCATTACTTCAGGCTTTAGTATCACATGATCCTTCAGAAATCATTCTAATATACTTTTTTGACGCTCAAAAAACATTATTATTATTACTTAGATACTGAAAACTGTTTATTGATATACTGATGAATTGGTGAGGACAGGCACCTTTCATCACTAATTAACACAGAAAGTAAATAGCTACTCAGACAGAGGTGGGGTTGTTCTCCAGCTGTGCACCTGTTCACCGAGGCTCTAATGAATCCAATGCATCTCCACCAGACCAACCTCTCTCATCTGTTCCAGTTTCTCCAGTGTCTCCTTAGTGTCAAACTGCCATTGCTTCACCTGTTCAGTGGCTGCAATGCCTTCCTGAAACAAGCAAATGAAGTGTTTTATATCCAGTGTTCTGATGTTTTTTTATAATATATATATATATATATTTCCTCATCCATCATGATTTGTAGTACTTACAGCGTTCTTGATCTGCATATTGGCTCCTGCCAGTATAAGGAGTTTGACGATTTTATATCGATTTAATCTGACAGCATCGTGCAGAGCTGTGTCTCCTTCCTTTAAAAGAGGAAGGAAACTGAATTGAATTATAATCTGCATGTTCAGTAAATGTTTTGTGTTTTCTTCATGAATTCTTTATCTGTTACCCAATCTTTGGCATTAATATTGATTCCACTGGCTAGAAGATGCTGGACCACGTCGCTGTGACCTGTCCGAGTGGCCACATGTAAAGGTGAGCTAAGCAGCTGTATGGAAGAGAATAAAAAGATTTTATAATGCTACACATGCTTAAGGCAGCTTATTTACTTTTCAGTATTTTGCATTACTTTGTCTCTGACATTGATGTCAGCTCCTCTGTCCTGAAGAATTTTCAGAGCTGAGAGACTTCCACCTCTGCAAGCCCAGTGTACAGCCCTGCAGTCCAGCTAAACCGAGGACAAGAAAAGTAAATCAGCACAATCGCAACACCATTACAACAGTTAATTCACTTTACAAACACTTATAATGATCTCACCCTGTCTTTAAAGTTGATATCAGCACCTTTGTCCAGTAATTCTTCCACTATTTTAGCATGATTTTCCAGAGCAGCCCGATGCAGTGCTGTTTTCCTGAACTACGACAAACAGTTGTATGAGCAACTGAATCGGGGTTATTATAGTTATATATACATGTGTGTACAGGTGCATCTCAATAAATTAGAATGTCGTGGAAAAGTTAATTTATTTCAGTAATTCAACTCAAATTGTGAAACTCGTGTATTAAATAAATTCAATGCACACAGACTGAAGTAGTTTAAGTCTTTGGTTCTTTTAATTGTGATGATTTTGGCTCACATTTAACAAAAACCCACCAATTCACTATCTCAACAAATTAGAATATGGTGACATGCCAATCAGCTAATCAACTCAAAACACCTGCAAAGGTTTCCTGAGCCTTCAAAATGGTCTCTCAGTTTGGTTCAGTAGGCTACACAATCATGGGGAAGACGTATTGAGATGCACCTGTATGTATATGTGACCCTGGACCACAAAAGCAGTCTTAAGTCGCTGGGGTATATTTGTAGCAATTGCCAAAAATACATTGTATGGGTCAAATTTATACATTTTTCTTTTATGCCAAAAATCATTAGGATATTAAGTAAAGATCATGTTCCATTAGGATATTTAGCAAATTTCCTACAGTAAATATATCAAACTTAATTTTTGATTAGTAATATGCATTGCTAAGAACTTCATTTGGACAACTTTAAAGGCGATTTTCTCAGTATTTAGATATTTTTTGCACCCTCTTAACTTTCAGATGATGTATACATCTCAATTTCGAAAAATGTACACTAAAGACAGGCTTTGTGATCCAGGGTCATATATATATATATATATATATATAAACCAAAAACTTTTTTTTAGCTAGCTGCCAAAGCAACATTTCTTATTTTTTATTTAATTGAAAAATGAATTAATTAAAACTACAGTATATAGACATATTGAAAAACTATAACTAAAGAAGATAAAAAAAAAACAAATCTTTGATTAAATTTAAAATGAAAATTGAAAGTACAAAAAAAAAATCTAAATATATTTAATCAAAATATTTATATATCAATGATATTCAAATATATGATATAAATAATATAAAATACTAAAATAATGCATAAAACTGGTCATTTCAGACATACTGCACCTCATCACAGGTGTTTGGATCTCCTCCATCTCCCAGAAATTTCTCAACTGCTTCCATCTTTCCCTGAGCTGCTGCTTTTAAAAAATCATCTGGTTCCACAGGTCCCTGACACACACCAGAGATCAATTTTGATGCTTAAACACTCAAAAAAAGCAAAAAGTCTTATTATATCGTATAATAATAATACATGCAATATTCAAAGTCACATAACGACAGTAAAGATAAGAAAGGCAGATGGTTTCGCTCACCACAAGAATATCCAGCAGGTCTTTGGAAGCAGCGGTCTTATTCTTGATCTTCTTCTTCGTACACAGCCTCAGATCAGAGGAGATCTTCCTCACTCGTTCTTCTGCCTGCATTAAGAATTCCCTTCTCTTTATCACTGACTGATTCAGTCTTCCTGCATACAATACATGAAGTCTTCCTACAATAAAATTGGTTCACACCAATTGTATATAGCGACACTAAAAAAAATATAGCAACACTAAAAAATCAAGGTTCTTCATTGGCATCTATAGTTCCATGAAGGACTTTTATCATCCAAGAAACCTTTCCATACCACAAAAGTTATTCAAATATATAAAATGTTCTTCACACTAATAAAAAGTGGTACTAAAAAGGTTCTTTGGGGAACCAAAAATGGCTCTTCTACGGCATCACTAAATAGTAGTTAGGTTTTTTCTTCAGTTTCTGCATATTTTAGACCCTCAAGTCATTTTTTCTGATCTTCCTTTGTGTGATTTGGTTCAACTCCCCTTAGGAAAATGTTCAGAGGTTGCTCCTATAGCTCTCTGCTATGCTTTCATAGTTTATCAAGTTTATCTCATACTGGTCAAATGTTAATCTTTTCATTAAAAGTCCATATTTTGATCTCTCCTCTGATTGTTTACTCACCTGAATGTTTGCAACACTTTGATTGACAGATTCATTCCCTCCTTCTACCGCCATAGAAGGTGCATCCACAACCAAAATCCCCAACTTTCGTGCCCGAGCTCGACGCTTCTAAACAATTCCAATAAAAGACAAACAAGCTTTCTCAGACAGGTAAACTTCTCAATAAAATACACAGAAAATGATCAAAATAAGAAAGAAATCTAATTAAAGACTTCTAAAAATCCTATTCCTCCTCCCGTTTATCAAGGGCTGCTCTTCTATCAACCACAGCCGTCGCCCACAGTATGTTCTCGTCCATTATGGCAAACTAATATATGGCCCTGTGTGACAGCTGTGGACAGGAGCTGGATCGCACACAAACATGCGACCCGCTGCTGCCCATGAGCTCACCGTTCAGGCCGGTGCCATCCACCTCTGCCACACTCTGGGAGTCCATTTTTACAAGAATCACGGCCCAGTAAACACCCTGTTTTGGAGATTATGTTATTTATACGTGTTTCAGTAGTGTCAAGTGATACCTAACCTCATAAATGCCTTCTAGTACAAAGAACGCCTGTTAACACACAATGTCCAATCACTGAACGGCATTCAGGAACACCCTGAGTGTTTGAGAGAAGGAAGGAAGAACAGAAGCACATGCTTGTGAAGGTGAGATCAAGATGACATTTTCAATAAAACCAGCATCATTTGACAAGTAAAAACAAAACAAACTGTACCAATTCAGCAACAGCAAATAATAATGTGGAATTATTATTTTAGTTTTTTTTATCAATATAGCCATGTTGTTCAAATCCTTCAAATGATCAGTCACTAAATGCTAAGAGTTGCCAGTAGCTTTTTCAAGTTTAGCTCTTTTTTTATTTTTTATTATTGAAATATTTATTGGGCAAGGAATAAAAGTGACATCATCTGTTCAAATATTTGCTTAAACTAATAGTAACAATTGTGCTAAGATTACAGAATTTAGTAGTTTTCATTTTTTAAATAATATATTACTTTAATAATGTTTACTTTTTAAGCAGTAGCCGTTTTTGTTTGTTTGTAATATTATAAAGCATACAAAGAGCTACAGCTAAGAATACTAAAGTAATAATCAATTAAATCAAATGTATTTTTGTTATGACAAAATATTATTCAAATATTTATAGCAGCAATGGTGTAAAAATAAATGCTGCTAGCAAAAATGCTGAATAAAATCAAATACATCCTTTATTTTTGAACTTTCTATTAATCAAAGAATTCAGACAAAAAAAATGTATCATGGTTTCGGCAAAAATATTAAGCATCACATCTGTTTTCAACAAATTATAATTTCACAATATTGGTTTTACTTTATTTTTGAAGTCTCTTAAGCTCTTATTTGATCAAAAATATTTTAAAAAGGTCTTACTGACCTCAAACTTTTAAACTATACAGTATGTGTTTATGCCAATACATTAATTTAGTCAGATTAATTATATAAAAATACAACCTTCACCTGCACTGATTCAAATACATGGGGGGCTCAAAACATCTTTAAAACACAAATATCTGGGTAAAAATTTCCTTAAAAATACCTGTGATAGAGCATGAAATGTCATATCTTCAGTCTTTTCTTGTTAGAGAAAAAAAAAGTGAAGTCAATAAAAATTATTTACTTAAGTTTATTTATTTATCATTTTGGCTCTGGGCAATAGCTGTATAAAGGTCCTTTGAAACACTGCTGTTGAATGGTATCAAGCATATTCATAAATGGAAATGTGTGGTTGTTTGAAAAGTAGACTAGATAAAGCACTGCGGTATACAATGTGAAGCCTCTGAGACAGATGAATGATTAACTGTGAGGAGGGATCAGAACGAGACAAAACACTGCAGCGGATGATTTTCAATACAACACAGACATGTTTCTATCTCCACACCTGGGAGAGGAAGACAGCAGCTGAAATAAGAGCTAAGAAACAACACATATACGCAAATAAAGGCATAAAGCATTCAGATTAAATGTGCTGTGAATGAAGGTTGCAGAACACTGATACTAAAGAACAAGAAAGGAAACTATGATTCCTTGTTCAATTCATATTTCATAACTGACAGGCATAGGTTGGGAACTGGCTTGAAAAATGGTGACTCTGAAACACTTGAGTGTTAATGATAATGATGAAGGCAGCGTTCCTCTGTTACCGGAAGCCAGCAGCTTGGAGAGCCCAACCACCCAACACAGCAGGGCAGAGTCCAGACAATTCTTCCTTAGCCGGTGGGTTTGCCAGAGATAAGCACTGCGACACATGGAAACATGCTTGCCATTCACATGCTGCACTGGAGATTCCATGACCTGTACAGACACATTCCATTAAAACCGATAAAGCACAGAGCTTTTGAAACACAGTAAGAGTGTAAGCTTCATGAGACTGCCGTTTTATGATTTCAGGAGGAACAACTTCATTTTAAGCATTGCTCTGTTGTTGTTGAGCTGTTATTCTGCAGTTCTGGTTCCCGCGTATCTGCCAACCCCAGAGCCCACCTGGACTAATGACAGTTCTGCTGAAACTCTGGTACTGTAATTCACCGATTGATTACATGAAACTAAAGGATTTTGAGTCCGTTTGAAGGACCTGCGTCTTAACATCAAGGCGACTCATTATTCTACTTTGACTTTACTGCAGGATTGAGATGACTCGTAAACTGAGCTGTATACAGTACGTTTTAACTAAAAGATTTTTTAGTAGTAAACAAGTAAAGTTTATAAAGATTATTTACCCGTTTAGTTAAGGTGATTAGATAATCCATGTGGAGTTTACATTTATTATGATCCCACCCCATTTTTTCTACAATTAAAAAATAATAATAAATAAAAGCTTAATATTGTAAACATGTTAATTAATTTATTATTAACTAAAACACTATAGGGCTATAGAGGATTTATAGTATTGTAATACATAACTTAATTAAATTACACAATAAATAAATATATAAATTATGATTTTTGTAAATAAATAAAAAATACACTACTGTTCATACGTTTGGGGGCAATAATATACAAAAAAGGTTTTGAAAGAAAAATGCTCACCAATGTTGTATTTATTTCATATTTCAAAATAAAGCAAAAACAGTAAAACTGTGAAATTATAAAATATATTAAAATAAGTTTCAGTTAAAGTCATTTTCTGAAAATGTCTAATTCTGTGATGGCAAAGCTGAATTTTCAGCAGCCATTGCTCCAGTTTCCAGTGTCACATGATCCTTCAAAAAAATCATTCTAATATGCTGATTTGCTGTGCAAGAATCATTTATTAATATGATCAATTTTGTGCTGCATAATATATTTGTAAACCATAATACATATATTTTTGATGAATAGAAAGTTCAAAAGAACAGCATTTATTTGAAACACACATTTTGAAATACAAATACACGTAAAAGCTTTTTTTAAATCTTGGCCTCTTAAAAAACTTTTAAAGTAGTGTATATGCAAATAAATCATGAAATGTGTCAACAAAAACAATTCATATTAACTTACTACTAATAATAACAATACTCCTCAATTATAAAGACACATGTTGTCCGATGTCTAAGCCTGTCTCATTTGTACACACCTCAGGCTCTGCTGTCTCAGTCCTGCCGCAGCGGCTGGAGTGTGGAGAGGGTGAGGACGCTGCCTACACCTGCCGAGCTGCTGAAGATTCCCGTGTTCCTGGAGAACGGCACAGGAGACTGGGCACTGCCTCCTCCTCTGGGTCTGCAGGGTAGTGAGGAGATGGTGGCTCAGGCGCTGAAAGCCTTGCCTTATACTGGCATACCTACTGGCCCAGAGACCTGCAGGAGATGCGTGGTGGTTGGAAGCGGTGGCATTTTACACAGCAAAAATCTTGGACCTCATATAGACCAGACTCGTATAGAACATTATCATCAGGTTAGTTCATTAACAAACACTTATAGGTGCCAAAAATACAGTAAAACCATGAATATTCTGAAAAATTATTACAATTTAAATAACCATTTTCTATTTTAATATATATTTTTTCTCATGTGATGGCAAAGCTGAAGTTTAGGCATCATTACTGCAGTCTTCAGTGTCACAAGATCCTTCAGAAATTATAGTAATATGCAATGAATGATGCATATTACCTCACCTAAACTATTTATATTGATAATAATATTTTACTCTTCATACCTGCAGAGTGAACAATGCTCCAGTATTTGGATATGAAAGAGACGCTGGATCTAGGACTACCATTCGGCTCATTTATCCAGAAGGGGCTTCTTCCCTAACACAAGAATACGAGAGTACTGAAGTGGTGGCTTTGGTGGCATTCAAGAGTTTAGATTTAGCATGGCTCACCTCTGTAGCAACCAAAGAGCCTTTGGTGAGTAATTTTTGGGAATATTCTCATTCTAGAGAACCTTTTGTTGGACAAAAAAATGATGAGAAAAGATGTTGTGGTTCGTGAAACAGAGGAACTGTAAAATTCAAATGCTTTTGTCATCTTTTGGGAGTGCACTTGCATATAGAGTACCTTAAAGTTAACAGAAATGGCCAAAAATCCACAAAAGTAGGCTACAACTTTTAATTTATAAAATTTTCTCTGTGTGTGTCTCTTTGTAGAGTTGGTGGTCGAAACTGTGGTTCTGGAAGAATGTAATAGACTCGATAGCTCTTCAACCAGAAAATGTGCGCATCCTAAATCCTGAAATCATGTACAGGACTGGACAGGTGCTGCAAACCTATGCAGAGCAACAGAAAAAGGTCAGAACTGAGATAATTTCTCAAATGTTCAAACTGAACATTTCTACTTCTGCCGTCTTTTAATTTAAAAGGATACTAAATAGAGCATGTTGCTTCTAAAATCAATATATTTTTCTACCATTTAAAAGTTTGGGGTCAGATGATCCTCTTATGTTCTGTAATTTTGTGAAATATAATTACAATTTTAATAAACTGTTTTCCATTTCAACATTTTAAAATATTATTTATTCCTGTAATGCAAAGCTGAACTTTAAACAGTCATTATTCCAGTCTTCGGTGTTACATGATCCTTCAGAAATCATTCTAATATGCTGATTTGCTGCTCAAGAAACATTATTATTATCAATGTTGAAAACAGCCGTGTAATTTTGCCTTT